CGAAAAGGACGAAGCAGGAAAAGATGATGGATGTATGTATGCATCGTATGGACGGATGGGTGGATGTTCTCTCTACCTAGTTGTGGTATTTCTTCTTTTTTGTTAAAATCATGCTTTTGAACAAAGTCATTAGTACACAATAAGGTAATAAATATCTGTGGAGTAGTTTGATCGCCTTTTCTCTCAGTTTAGTCGTACAGTGAACAATCTCACGAAGACAAATGTAAAAACTATCGTTTTAGATTGAATTTATGATTTTAGGAGAAAGTGAGCCTTGGATTTTTAGTTACATGTTTTATTTCCAGCCACCTGTATTAGAAAACATTATTAATACTAACTGTGGCTTGTTTGGTTCCAGGTGATAGAGACCTACAAGCTGAAGTCTCCATCCATGGAGCAGCTCCAGACCTGCTACTCTCATTTCTTTAGTGAAGCATTTCCTCTCAGGCAGTACATATCTCTGTACGACAACTTGGAGGCTAACAAGCTGCCTGCCAAATCTGAATCAACAAATCCCATCACTAATGTCTGGCAGACAGCTGAAGGTACTCAAAGTTGTCAAAATGTATTTTTATCTAAAAACAAAGATTGTTATTGCTCATTTCTTTTAAACATTTCTGCTTTTGTGTCTTCTAACAGCAACGCCGACTCCAACAACTCTAGAAAAAGAACAACAGCTGGACAATGGAGCAAACCTACTCGCTGAATGTGACTTTCCAGTGCTGGGGGCAGCTGCGAGCTCCAAAAAAGAGAAGAAGACCAGAGCAAGAGATGCCAACCAGAAAACATCCAGTGTCCACGTTTTTACAGACGCTTATTATGCTCAGCTGAGAGAGGTCCAACGAGGCCACATGCTGGCAGCCGAGGCCATCGAGGAGGAAAACGAGCTGACATCGAGGAGGAGGAACACGTACATGGATCCAGATTATGTCAACAGTGTGGTGAAAAACGCAATACAAGAAATAGCTGCTGAGGGAGATCTGGTCACTGATAAAAAGGTGAGATGGAATAAAAGAATAGATTTTGATCTTTTGTTTCTGAAATTTTAAATCAAATACAGTCAAGTTCTTCATATAGCAACATAACCACAGCGATTACAAAAAGGTAAAAACGGACTAAAAAGATTTAAACAGACATTTAAAGCGTATGACCACACACATGTAAAAATAAACTAAACCAATTAAACAGTAAAAATCATTTACTGAATAAACAGTTTGTGTGCCTGAATGATCCTAGGAGTTCTGCTGTCGGGGGCAGTTGTAATTGTCCCTGCTAGGGTCTCCCAAGGCAGATTGGTTCTAGGTGACAGGCCAGACAAAGAGCGGTTCTGAAGATTGAGGGTGCATTCACACTAGCCCTGTTTAGTCCACTTTAATCAAACTCTAGCTCGTTTTCCTAGAAAGTCCGGTTCGTTTAGGGAGGTGTGAACGCACCATCGAACTCTGTCACTTAACAAAAAGACGAACTCTGGCCCGGGCTAAAACCTAGGTCTTCGTCCGGTAGAAGCGAACTCCAGCGTGGTTCGAGTGCAGTGTGAATGTAAACAGACCGGGCCCCGCTCCGCAGGGTAAACAAACACGCATTTCTCTGACCTTACATGGAGCCGTCAGCTGCCTTGTGTGAAAAACAATATTCTCCATGGTCTTCTGTCTCATCTTCTGCTCATGCTAAGTCCATTTTTGAAAAAATGACAAAATATAACTCCTAAAACTGCTAAAACTTGATGCCACTTCGTTTTTATTTTTTTTATTTACAGAAGAAGAAGAAGAAAACGTGTCTTCAGAGGTTTTTGTGTCGTTTCTTTCAGTGGTTCTTGGTGCAGCGCCCCCACAGGCGAGCGGGGGAATAGATTGGTTCAACAGGTTGACTCGACTGCACAGTGCAGTGTGAATGCAAACTCACCAGCTCAAATGTAAACAAAAGCTCATGAATATTGGTCCCGAACCAAGTCTATCGGACTATCAGGTGTGAAAACGACCTTATATGGACATAAAGAAACGAAGAACTCGGTGTCCCTTGCCTGGACGTGAGTTACCGGGGCCTCACCCTGGAGCCAAGCCTGGGGGAGGGGCTTGTCAGCTGGGTCTCTACCCATGGGGCCCGGTTGGGCTCAGCCCCAAGGAACAACATGGGTTTGCCTTACTGTGGACCCACCACCTACAGGAGGGGCCATATGAGTCAGGTGCATGAATCCATGGGCAGTGGCCTTGGTGCTCTGACCCTGGCTTACCAAAGCTGGCTCTTGGGACCTGGAACGTGACCTCTCTGGCAGGAAAGGAGCCTGAGCTTGTGCGTGAGGTTGAGAGGTACCGACTAGATATAGTTGGGCTCATCTTGATGCACAGCATGGGCTCTGGAACTGATCTCCTTGAGAGGGGTTGGACCTTATTCCACTCTGGAGTTGCCCATGGTGAGAGGCGCTGAGCTGGTGTGGGTCTACTTGTAGCCCCCCGACTTGGTGCCTGTGTGTTGCAGTTTTCCCCGTTACATGAGAGGATGGCTTCCCTGCGCCATCGGCTGGGCGGGACGGGCTCTGACTGTTTTTTTGTGCCTATGCGCTGAATGGCAGTTCAGCCTTCTTGGAGTCCTTGGAGTGAGTGCTGGAAGGCGCTCCAGCTGGGAACTCTTTTATTCTGCCGGTGGACTTCAATGTCAACGTGGGTAACAACAGTGTGACCTGGAGGGGTGTGACTGGGAGGAACAGCCTCTGATCTGAACCCGAACGATGTTCTGTTGTTGGACTCGTGCTAGTCATAGTTTGTCCATCAAGAACACCATGTTCGAACATAAGGGTGTTCATAAGTGCACTTGGCACCAGGACGCCCTAGGTCGTAGATCGATGATTGACTTTGTAGTCCTGTCATCTGATTTGTGACTGTTTTGACACTTGAGTGATGATTTCCAGGTAATTCTCATAAATTTCCATAGAACGTTTCCAATTTGGAATATTTCCAGAACTCCCCAGCCTAACTTACCATGAAAATTTATAGAAAGTTTCCAGAAATGCACTGCTCCTTTGCAGTCCAGCTCAGTGCTAACTAAAACAATTCCAATTTAGTTCCCATTCAGCTCTAAAAATGGTTTCCACTGCCAATATTTATTACCAGCAAAGCACTGGATAAGAATACTGAGCCAGCTAAGGTGGTTAGTAGAAACAGACATGTACAACTGGGTTAAGATATACTGTGTTAGCTAAATATCCAACTGGGAGCACATACATGTTCATAACCTGCTCATATAAAAATGTTGCTTTGCAGTAATGATCATTTTAATTTTTTTCTTTGAAACTTATCAAACTGTCCCTGCCAGATAGACTTTTCCTCCTTTGTTCGTTTTTACTGTCCCTCACTGGTTCCCACATCTGTATCTAGGTGATATCCCGGGTGTGCCAGATGATTCCTTCTTTGGACTCAAGGATGCTAAAACCCTGGAATGTTCCAGCGCTAAAAGACCTTGAGTACCTCATGAGAGAGATCAACATCTTCATAGAAGTGGGTACACATTTGTTTTTAAATTAACTCACTCTTATTAGTAGTGTTAAGTTGGTATATGTAGAACATTTTGTTGTTCTTTCTGTCAGACTACTGAGGCATTAACATCCATCAGTACCCTTTATGAGCTGGGCCAGTCGCTGGCCGGCCTGAAGGACAAGAAGCGCTACGAAGAACTAAACATCGGGCCCCTGTGCAAACTCCCCCTCATACACCGCATGTTTAAGATTGATAGTAACACCAAGGATGATGAAATCCATGAGATCCACACTGTGGACATCATAAAGGTACTGCTCAACACAAGTTAAACTAATCAGAGATGACTTTTTTTTGTTTCACTTACAATAAACTACAACAAGAAGACAGCAGGAGGAAGTCACTGCAATATTCAACAAAAAATTAAGTTTTCAAAATGTGGACTGATTGCTCTAAATGAGTATTCAAGTTGGTTAGGTCACACTAGGAGTCTGAAATCACCTGGCGATGGAAATCAATGTAAACACTGTTGTGCACCAGTTTTTGATGGATTTTACTGCAGACTGGATGTTTTTGTTGAGGAATAAAAATCAGATAAAGAACGTTATTATGACGATCCTACAGAGCCGGCGCTCAAGTTGTAAGGGGTTTAGATATACCAGTTTGATCCAGATTTAAACTCTGACAATCCCCTAACGGGGAGAGGAGCTCTGTTAGATCCCAGGAACGACCTCAGTCCAGGAACAGCTAAGATGCTGAGCAGAACCCGTAAGCTGCCATGTCTCTGGTAGAGGACGGAGTGTTGAGTCCAGGTGCCACAATGTGGAAAGGGCGCGCTCAGAGATTGTTTGCATCAAAGACAAAAAAAAACTGCTGTGCAACAGGTCATGTGCAGTAATGTAGGATTTTTCAACTGATAAATGCACAATAAAATAATAAGTTGTACTTTACTATTTTTTGTAGCCAATCTAAAGTACACAGTACAGCACAGGTCATGTGTTGGACAGAACGTTTGAGCAACTCTAGAAAGGTATCTCTTGAGAATGTACGAAAAACATAAGACGAGGATTGTTTACGTTTTGAATGTCCAGACAACCAGATTGAACTTTTTTAGATTTTTCTACCTGGATTATTGAGTGTGCATCAGGATAAGGATTGTTTACTTCAATAAATTGATTCAAACGTCATGCGAACTAAAAAAGCAGCAACCATATCCCAGTGTGAACATATAAAACAAATACAATGTGAAACTCTCAAACAGCTCAGCTGGCTGAGTGCCAGCATGAGAAAATAATGCTTGATAACACGATTATTTGAGAAATATATCCATTACTTGCCATACTATTTAGAGTGTTGCTTATATGAGACAACTGCCTGCCATACAGGCACCTCTCGTCTCTCCGTGCAGCAGCTGAGAAAGATTAGAAAGATGAAATTAACTAATGTCACGAAACATTTAAACTATATGATTTTTGGAGCCTAACAGTTTTTCTTGTTTCTTTTGTTTAGCAACTTCGCATTTATCGGTGGAAAATGAAGACGCCCAAACTCGACCTGGCTGAGTTTTTGAAGCATTTGTCTGATCACTACAGCTGTGATTCTCCATACGAGTTGGGGATCAGAATACGCGGCCTTGGGCTGCCCATATCGGTAAGAGACTTGACGTTCTGTAAAACTTGAGCTGGTTGGCTCATTAGTGAAAAGTTTGTTACATTTATTATGTGCACACATGATGCTGCAGCTCTTTCAGCCTCTGCACAGTCATATTTTAATACAACACTGTAGAAGAGGGGACGGCAGAGTGGTGGCTCAGTGGTTAGCACTGTTGCTTCACTGCAAGGTGGTCCTGGGTTCAATATCCGAGTTGGGCCAGGGGTCTTTGTGACATGTGTTCTCTCCGGGTTCATGTGGTTTTCTCTGGTTTCCTCCCACTGTACAAAAGCATGCACGTTAGGCTGCCTTCAGGCCCAGGCCTCCCAGTGATCTGTGGTCTTAATGGGATTTACGTGGTTAAATAAAGATCCATGGGAATAAAAACAGGCAAAGTGGTAATTGTTTTAAAGTAATGACCCGTTTTTGTAACAAACGTTCCAGGGCGACTGTGGCTGAGCGGTTAGAGCAGTCGTCCTCCAATGGGAGAGGTGGGGGTTCGATTCCACCAGCAGTCACATGTTGAAGTGTTTTTGGGCAAGACACTGACTGAACCCCTCATGGCCTCTGATGTGTGTCCCATCAGTGTATGAATGTGATCTAAAGCTCTGATTATTCTTTGTATAAATGTAGTAGAGTGCTGTATGAATGGGAAAACGAGGCACAGATTGTGTTGTAAAGAGATTTGATTGTCTTGATCAGATAGAAAGGTGCTATATAAAAATAAAGTCCATTTACCATGACTCTTCTGATACACTTAGCAGGAAGGTTGGGCTCATTGTGTGTTAGCTCACTGCAGCTTTATGTTACACAATATGGCTGTCAGTCCTGCTGGAGTCAACTAGCTAGGATTGGATATAGAATTGTACACCTGGATTATTGAGCATGGACTTTTTTTTTTTTAGCTAGGATTGGCTAATTTCCCCAAAGTTTCTGGCTTGGGAGTGGAATCAACAGCACAAAGGATATGACTTTATGTTTTGCTTTAATGAACAGCGATTTGCATTTGCTACCCTTTTTTTTTAGGGTCTTTTCTGGTGCACACACCTACCTGGTCAGGACCAGGAGTCCTTTTAGGGACCAAGACTAGTCCTAGTATGGTGAAACCTCATTTTAGGGTTAGGACTAAGGTGTGAATTGAGTTTAGGTCAGGGTTACGCATGTTCAGGGATTAGGCTACACAAATGAATGGAAGTTAATAAACAGTCCTAATAGAGATGGGGGGGGGGGGTGATCTGTGATGGGCACATGCCCCCACTGACCGACACATAATCCTGCTGTAGAGTGCAACCCCTCAGAATGTTCTTTTTGATCTCCAGATGTGTAATAATTGGTTTAATACAGCAATCCAAAATGAACTGGAACCAGATCAGCTGTTAAACACAGACTGATAAATTAAACACATATATTGTTTTATCGCTGTTATCAGTAAAAAATGCTTGTGTCTGTATCATGTTTGTCAAACAGTTTATAAATAGTGTTGCTTGCATTTTAATGATGTTCATTATAGAACAGTGTAACTTGTGTGTCCACTGAAGAGTCTGAACCGAGTGAGCCGTGTGGAGAGCAAAATGTTGGAGGAAGCCAGAGAGGCCATCCAAGGAGAGCTGGAGGAAGAAACCAAGGAGTGTCTGAAAAAAGTCAAGAGGAGTGTTTTAGAGTCGATGCAAGGTGCACGCTCCTTCTCCTCCACAGGAAGCTTGGACCTCTGGAAGAAGTACTCCTCCATGCCGGCGGCTGACGTAGTGCTGGAGGTCCTGTCCAACGCCAGGCAGGTGTTCAGCTCCAAGATGGCCAAGGTGGGAGTCAACCCGTGTTACAAAGTGTTCAGATATTCTTCGTCCAGTTTTCCCTCAAATGTCTCGGCCTGCTAATAACAGATCGTCTCGCACGGACTGCTGGCCAAAGAAAATATATTCGAGCCAGAGTTAACTTTGAGATTGTCAGGAAAACAAAACACTACTCGGAGGTAATGTTCTAGAAAGATTTCCTGACACAGAGCTGCACTTTCTTTTCCAACCAGCACGTGGAGCAGTTCTTGACGCAGGTGTCTCAAGACCGTCTGGCCAGAGCTCTGTTTCAGCTGTCTGTCTGCGGAGGCTCCTTGGCTGTTCCATCGGACCTGGTGCCCAAAGAAAAGACCCCCAAAACTCCAGAAAAAGCTAAAACAGTGGACAAAGCTGCAGCGTCCCTCCCCAGTGAAGGTTCATAAACTGTACATGCTGTTTCCTGCACTATTCGAATCAAAGGACGTCTGCTTGTGATTAATGGACGTTTGTTTCGTCTCTCAGCCAAGGTGAAGCTGTTTCTGAAAGACAGCCTGGCTGCTCAGAACTCCACCATCACTCTGGCCCACATTGCTGCTGTGGAGAGGAAGCTGACCAAACACTTCCTGCTCAAAGATTTCCTCTCGTTAGAACAAGGCACCTTCCTTGAGTTCCTGGTGAAACACGTTCAGGTATACTTGTGGTTTTCAGTGGGAAATTTTTACTGAATGCTTCTTGGGAAGTCTTCGGGATGTTTCCATGGTAACACCAACCTCCATCCTGGTCTGTGTGCAGCTGCTGCAGGACACTCTGGGCTCTGCTTTGTTTCTGGGAAGCAACAAGGAGCTCACCGGCAGCAGTTTCAGACCCACCAGACAAGACGTGTTTGAATTTATCAAACAGTGCGGCGACGTGTCCCCCACTGAGCCAGACAACGTGAGTTTGTTAAAGACATGCTGCAGAAGACAAACACTACGATGAGACTCGCTCACCTTAAACTTCCTGCTGTGTCTCAGCTCTTTCATATCGAGTCAGCACTGAGGTCCCACTATGGGGTCCGGGACAGTCGGGACTTGGGTTACGGCACCCTCCACATGCTGGCTGGCCTGGTCCAACGACAACGAGAGCTTGCTGGGGGAGGACTGAGCCCAGTCTGCTATGAGTCTGCTCTGTTGGCCAAACACAATACATCAAGGTAAGAATGTACTTTAAATGTTTACCCAATTAGTACACCAAGTCAGAACTGCAACAGTTATGACGGGGGTTCTAAATCGGGTAACCACTCAAGTACATTCTTACCGGGTCGGGGACAGTCG